TTTTACTAGAAGCACTAGATGTTATTTCAAGGACTAGAACTTTCTAGAAGTAATAGCTTTTCCTTTAAGTACTAGAATTTACTAGAAGTACTAGCGTTTGCTTTAAGTACTAGAATTTATTAGAAGTACTAGCTTTTCTTACAAGTACTAGAATTCACTAGAAGTACTAGCTTTTCCTATAAGTACTAGAATTTACACGAAGTACTAGATTTTCCTATAAGTACTAGAATTTACTTGAAGTACCCGTTTTTCCTAAAAGTACTAGAATTTACTAGAAATACTAGCTTTTACTATCCGTACTAGAATTTACAAGAAATATTAGCTTTTATTACAAGTACTAGCTTTTACTAGAATTACTGACTTTTTCTACAAGTACTAGAATTCACTACTTAGTTATTCTAGTAGAAACTTACTAGTTTTCAATAGTACCTCAAAAATTCTTAAAGTTACATAAAATAATCTTCTTAAAACACACACACATGACATAATTTATTCTATTAAATCGAAAAACTTTTAATCCTTCCAAACCCAAACAAAAATATTCAAAAATGGAAATTAAATTTCACAGATGAGACATAACGCAAACAAACAGTATGAAAACTTTTCCAACATATAAAAAAATTAAATTAATGGAGAAAAAAATTTAAATGATAATAAAATTGTGAAAAAGGGAGAAATCCAGAAGATAATCAACAAAAATGGGAGCACATGGTAGCAAGGAGAAACTTACTCGCTCTGCATCGGAGCGATACGTACATGCACAAGTGATTGAACGAGAAAGATTTGGAAGTTTTGGAAAGAGGATCAAAAAAGAAGGTAAAAAGTGTGATTTTTAAAAAGAATTTATATACCAACAAGATAAATCAATCTTTTTATGAATTTGAATATTTTGAGATTCGAGCTCTTGCTTTTAGTGATTTCTTAAAGCTTTTACATTATGTTATTAATTTTTATGCATTAAAATAGATATTTCCGCTACTTAAACTATTTATCCCCAAAAAAATTCGATAAATTTACTTCCAAAATACCACAAAATCCAATTTGACATCGCTTTCCAAACAAATTGATTCAATTAGCAAATTAAAATCTAAAATATGGCCAACGATAATCCCCGAAATTTAATTTAAAGCATTAACAACGATCTCTTAATTTTAATTAAAAGTACATTGTAGTCGCAACATGTGCTCATAAATTATTACATTATTTGATGTGAATTGATGTGATGCAATTATGTAAATTTATAAAAGCCGTACATCCCACAAACCTCTTTGGCAAGAACGTAAATTCCACGCAAGATTTCGGTGAGAATTGACGAAATGAAAATTAATTTTCATGACAAGTTTTACTTTCATAAATCTTATGAGGAAATGTCGAGGAGATTAAAATGTGAAGATAATTTAATTATATGTTGTTTTGTTTTTTAAACGTCTGTCAACGGCTTGTGGGAATGATTTTGATGAAATTGTGAGAGAAAAATGTATTTTTTCAATTAAGAGGGCAGTTTAAGGGGTCAATAATAAATGATGTTGCGAAATTCTAAAACAAATTTTGAATCCGAGCTTCAACGTCCTCCCATGGTGATTTATAAGTGGAGTTTAGGCAAAAAATGCATTTAATGTTCAACATCATAAAGCAATGAACCCCTAACCTCAAAATTGACCCCTCACTATCTCCCAGAATCAATTCTTCAATCTTTACCATTAACTCAAATTGCGAATGTTCTTAATTACTTAAAACATGACTGGACTATCTCTTCCAAGAATCATTAAACAGTAAATGATTGAAAAACGGCAACAGATGTTCCGATACTCAAGAAAATGTTCTTGCCATTCTTATAAAATTGCCTTTTGCTCTTTTTATGCGAGATTCAAAGACTCTAGTGCTTGCGGTAGCTGTCGTTAAGAGAAATAACTATTAATTACTATAACATGCTTGAAAATTTTATGTTGTTAAATAGACAGGCAGGGGAGGGGAAGGGGGAAGGGAGTATTGTCTAGAGAATTAAATCAGTGTCTTTTTTCTGCTCATTTTTCGGATAATTATGAAATTTTGCATAAATGAGGAGATGTGGAACGAGTTCAACTTCATTGTTCCTTCACATGAAGCCGCATGTCTATAGACAAGACTCGTACGTATGCTTTCATATATATATTTTATTAACATGAAGAAATATATAAGATGCTCATAAAGCAGCATAGCAAGTTTTAATTAAATTTTGCAAATTTTATATGCGAAAAAGTCCTTTGCGGAATGAAAAAGTTTAAATGGCAAAGTTTTTGCTTCAACAGGATGAGAGTTGTTGAAAGTGTTAAGCACAGGAGTGATAGGTAATTTTGAAATATGGAATTTAGTTATTTTAACCTTTAATGTAGAGAAGAATTGTAGTTTTTTATATTTCTCTTGGCTTCAATTAGGAAAGCATCCAAAAAAGAGTTCAAGCTATGTTTCTGATTTTTACATTACCCACAAAGCAATTCTAACCCAAACCAGCACCATAACCATCCCACAACATCTCAATAATAAAAAAAAAATCTCTTAATTTCTCTTCACTAAAGAATCACGATTCCATATTAAAATATCACCCGACTGGAGATAGACAATGAGACTATTTTATGGGATTTAATTTTCATACATATTCAGTCACTTTGCATGCTATTCAATTCCATTTTCCAGTCTCTCTATTCATTATCATATCAGAATTTGTTTCTTCTTCATGTTACTTACTTACATATTCTTTTGAAGCTAATCGAATCTTATTATATTCCTTGCAATTTTATTCCATTCTATACATCGTTTGCTTTACAATAGCAATTTTCTTTAACTACATCCATACAATATTTCTCATTCATTCTATAAATTGTGTTCATTTGAAATTCATATATTACATTTTGCAGAACAAGATAATAAGAAGTAGAAGGCGGCAGCGGCATAAACGTGAATACATTTTTCTGTGGCTTTGCTTTATTCTGCATAGATAAATATATATGTGTACATTGCGAATAATAATTATTCTCTGTTTTTTGTGCTAGAGTCTAATAGCCTTAAATATGTGTGTAGGAGCTATGACAAGTTGAATTAAAATAGAAGAAAGAAAGAAAATAATATTTTTTTTATTTGGAACTGATGAATTAAATTGGAATTTTCGGAATATTATAGTGGGGGTCCTCGATTTGAATAGATTCGATTTGAGTAACGAGAATCAATGAATAGAAAATTTAAAATATTTTACTTTAACGGACTTTTTTCATACAAAAAGTAAATAATTCGATTTGAATAGGATTTTTTTGGAAAAAACACCTCCTCAAATCGAGGACCCCCAATTTTGGTATCTGAGGCGGGGGGGGTGGGGGGGCAAGTGATGTAGATTTGCGCTGGATTTGCGTCAATTTCTTGCTTCTTGGTCATAAAATGAGAATAAAAATCGACATCAGACAAGTTCACTGGAAGCCCAACATTTGAATGGGGGGCACAGGAGGGGGGAGGGGGGGGGGGGTCTCGAGTGGAATTTTAAGTTTTACTATATAACAAATTAGAAGTTTTGCAACTCAAACATGAAGAAAAATTATATTTAAAGTTATTTCTATTGAAAACTCTCTAAAACTCAAGGTTCAAATCCTTATAATTTCTATAAAATGTAGGTTTAAAGTTTATTTTTTTTTTCAATCTTAGAACTTCATTCCTTAATTTTTTTTGTTCTATGTTAAAAATACAGCATAGAATGAAGCAAAAAAAAAGATGTAATAAAAATTTATGGTTTATGATTCAATCATTTAAGATAATAGACTTCCCCATCAATGGAAATATAGCAACATAGCAATTTGAATCTAAATAGGAGTTTCATGATGGAACAAAAAAGAAAGAGTAAAGAACACAAAATAGAATTCACATCCCAGCACACGCTACTGCCGCGTTCAAGTTCACTGTCGTTACATGCCGTACTTTTTCATCTGTTCTTTTATGTAATTGAAATTAAAGATAAAGAATTTTTTTTATTTTCTCTCCCTTCTTTTTGCCGCTCGTCTAAAACGTGTTATGCCTCAAGCCTGCTGTATTTTTCTCCATATTTGGAATATCCAATGTATATGAACTGAACGTAAATACAACATTCACCTTCATGCCTCATTCTACTCTTACTGTTTTTCCTTTTAAATGCACTGAAATAGAAGTAAGCAATAAGGGGCCATTCACTTATTACGTAACGCTTTTAGGGGGGGGAGTGGGGTCTAAGATTTTGTTACGGTTCAAACAAGGAAATTTTTTTTTCATACAAATTTTGTTACGAGGGGGGTCATTTTTTCGCGTTACGTAATAAATGAACAGCCCCTAAGAAAAATAAAGTTTTACTTCTTCTATAGGCAGCAGCAACACACAAAAAGTTAAAAGAAGTAACTGTAATTGTTGCCATTCACATATGTGCGTTGAACATACGTATGAGAATGTCCATGAACGACACTTCTGAATGAAATTTGTGTTTATAGTAGAATAAGAAGATGTCAAGTAACAGCAATTCATGATGTGCTAAGTGTTTCCGTTTTATCTCTTTTCTGAGTTTAATATTTAATGTTACTTATGCTATATATGGGTTGTATGGAGATGTGTGATTGGATCGGAGATTTGAAATTGTAGTCAAGCAGACTTACTTTGGTGATGTGATTTGGAATTAGAAATTGGAATGTATGGGAATTGAATATTAGCTTTGAAAGTGTATTGAATATTCAGAATCTCAAAAGTTCGTTAAAAATTCAAATCCCAAAAATCAGTTAATTTTTCCATAATGTTCATGAAATGCGTCACATAAGCCCACAAAGTAAATTCCATATTATCCCTTTCTCAATTGAAGTGGTCTCAAGTGGACGAAATGGATGTAAGACGTCAGTTGTTAAGGAAAGGTCTTCAATGCAGCATACAAGATTTTTATCACGAAAACTTCTTTATTTTATAATCTCGATTAACTTAACTATTATTGTTATGTTCTTGGCAAAAAGTAGTTTATTGACACGATTCCCAAATAGCTTTCATGAATTTTTCATGACTTTTGATGGTGCAAAAATTATGTTCCAATTTATAAAAATATTTTTATGATGATCATCATGACAGCAAGAAGCGATAAAGTTACTTTTGTAGCTGATGAATAATATTCTATGATAATAGCATCGTATGGAGTCAACTGTAGATTGCTTAAATTGACAATCTCGCTGAAAATAAAATTAATAAATTTATAGACGGGTATTGGATATATTTGTGCTACTTACTCAATTTCATGCTTTGAATTCGTTGAAGCTATGCGAATTTTTGATTCCTCATTTAATTTGGCTTTAAATCCGCTAGCATTAACCACTTCTGTTTGATTATTAAGATTAATTACAATTAGGTACGAAACCTTCTCATAAGTCCTTGAATAAGCCAGTGTATTGTTCCCGAGAACCTTAATTTCGATATCACCAAGTGCGAGTGTTGCATTCTTCCTCAATGCTGTTAATTCCTTAAATAATTTATAGTGACTTTTATTCGCACTCATTTGACTCTCGAGATTATTTTCAACATAGCCTGAATGTACAGGAAGCCATGACTTTCCACTTGTAAATCCGCTATTTTCAGTCGTGTCCCATTGGAACGGTGTACGCGCTACATCTCTCGAGAGCGGTTGATAGCTATCCTTATCTGCATTACATGCTTGTACGTCTACTGTATCTTCCCACGATATATCCATATTATCTTCCATTCCAATCTCATCACCATAATATGTAAATGAAATGCCGGGTAGTGTTTGCAAAAGTATCATTAAACCGTCAATTCTATCCCGTCCCATGCGTGACGCAACACGATTATGGTCATGACTGCCGAGCTAAAAGAAGTAAGAAAGATAACAATAACAATTTTATCTTATCAGAAGCATGATGTGCTCCAAAATAATACATACAAACCAGTTTGCGATAGCACCTGTCGGTAGAGCATTAAGATATTTTTCGATTACGCGCTTATAATCGCTTGCTGTTGAGTTTTTATTAAGCTCATTAATAAGCATAAAGTTCATTGGTACTTGAGCTCGTTGGGTTCCGTCTTCACTGACATAGTATCGCATTAAGTCATCGATTGGCGCATTCCAGATTTGTGGAATTAAAATTTTACTTTCAGTCTGTGAATAGTCGTCGAGGAACTTCCTCCATCTTTCAATTAATTCATAAGTTTGTGGAAGATCATTCATTTTGTCAGGTTTATCAAGGAACGATGGATCTTCAAATAGTTGAGACGAGGCATCCAATCTAAATCCATCAGCTCCTTTATCAAGCCAAAATTTAAGAACTTCATTCAATTTTTGTACAACAAGTTCCTCGCCAAGATTCAAGTCAGGCTGTTCCTTGGCAAATTTATGATAATAATAAGCTTCTCTCATTGGACTCCATGTCCATGAACTTCCACCATACTCTGATTGCCAAGAGTTTGGTGGTAAGTTACGTCCTTCATTTATCTGTTTAGCTCCATCGTGCCAGATGTAAAAGTCTTTATATCCATCGGTTCCAACTTCCGATTTTATGAACCACTCGTGCTTATTTGACGTATGATTTGGCACAAAGTCAAGAATAACTCTCAAGCCTTTTGCCTTAGCTTTTGAAAAGAGCTCTTCTACATCTTGCATTGTACCGAATATCGAATCTACTTCAATATAATTTGAGATGTCATAAGCGAAATCGATCATTTGTGTTTGGAAGAATGGACTAACAAGAATAACATCAATTGAGCCTTTCCACGCGAAAATGAGACTCGGTATTTTTTTGGTTTTGGCTCAATAAAACCATGAATAATGGTCCAAACTATAATATGTTATATATTTTTGGAAAGCTCTCGAGTTAAGCTTTCAATGTGGGTGAAAAAAAATTAATTATATTATCAAGGGTTGGAAACTTTCAGGTTTGAAACTGTCGATCAACATACATTTTTGCGCGACACGCTGTGCCTTACTCTTTAAAGCAAACAGGATTATTTTAATTGAATTAGATTAAGTAGATAAGGTATTAATGCAAAAAGGAAAGTTTTTCAAATTATTCTGCTTTGTTTTATTTTTATGAGTTATCAAACCTTGGTAATTTTTCTGTTCTTTTTTTATAAAAATGCTTATATCTTGTCCAAACATTCGAATTAATTGATGATTTAAACGCTGTTTATCTTATTTTTTTCATACTTTAAATTTGAGCTCAAAACTACTTCCAAGGGGTGGAAACTTTTGTAAAAAAAAGTTATCAACCCTTGATTTTTTTCTTTTTTTTCTATTTAAACTATTAATTAAAATTGTTATTAAATATTATGAACCTAGAATAACATAGTTTTTATTAAAACTAATAGAAAAACATAAAAACTTAAAAAAAATTAATGCATAAATGATTTTTCATGGTTTTTCTTGGGATCTGTATCAAAATCGTCTTTTTATATCTCAGTATCTCATTGTCATTAATTATTAATGAATCAGAAACGGAATCAGAGTATAAAAAGACGATTTTGATACAGATCCCAAGAAAAACCATGAAAAATCATTTATGCATTAATTTTTTTTAAGTTTTTATGTTTTTCTATTAGTTTTAATAAAAACTATGTTATTCTAGGTTCATAATATTTAATAACAATTTTAATTAATAGTTTAAATAGAAAAAAAAGAAAAAAATCAAGAGTTGATAACTTTTTTTTACAAAAGTTTCCACCCCTTGGAAGTAGTTTTGAGCTCAAATTTAAAGTATGAAAAAAATAAGATAAACAGCGTTTAAATCATCAATTAATTCGAATGTTTGGACAAGATATAAGCATTTTTATAAAAAAAGAACAGAAAAATTACCAAGGTTTGATAACTCATAAAAATAAAACAAAGCAGAATAATTTGAAAAACTTTCCTTTTTGCATTAATACCTTATTTACTTAATCTAATTCAATTAAAATAATCCTGTTTGCTTTAAAGAGTAAGGCACAGCGTGTCGCGCAAAAATGTATGTTGATCGACAGTTTCAAACCTGAAAGTTTCCAACCCTTGATAATATAATTAATTTTTTTTCACCCACATTGAAAGCTTAACTCGAGAGCTTTCCAAAAATATATAACATATTATAGTTTGGACCATTATTCATGGTTTTATTGAGCCAAAACCAAAAAAATACCGAGTCTCATTTTCGCGTGGAAAGGCTCAATTCCAGTATCGGCAATATAATCCAATTTAGAGATTATTCCTTGAATGTCGCCCTTTCCATCACCTGTAGTGTCCTTAAACGATAATGGTGCAATTTGATAAATTGTGGCTGATTTCCACCAATCATCCTTCTGTGAATGCACAAGTGATGTTGTACATAGGAAGAGAATTACCAAACCTTTAATTAAAACCATACTTAACGCTTCGAAATTACTTGAAGTAATGACTACAAATTTATATCATACATATTCATTATCATCTAGACATCTCCAAATTTACAAGAGTAGTTGATTGCCTACTTAGACTTATAATCTCATAGATATTGTATAGGTATGTGACTGCAAATGTGTTAAGGAAATGATAATAATGTCTGTGGATGTTGATAAATTTATGATAATATTAATTTTAAGGCATTCTCTGTGACTGTATAAATGTAAACAAGTCTGATGTTATGCATTTTGTGCAAACTTTGATTTTAAAGGTCATTAATACTTTTGATATGTAAATATTGATTGTTTACTCGAATAAATTCAGGTTTGTATCAAAACTTATGTGTTTGTAAGCATTTTGATTGGCTTTTGTTAAATTTAATCCAGCAATTGTGTTTCAGAATTCATTAAAATCCAGATTGTTGCATAATTTTGCAATTTACTTGTTCAGTTGGGGATTCTCTGTGTGTTATATAATTTCTCTAAGTTTCTTAGTAAGCTAGTCAAGTTTGAAGCTTATAATGTTAACGCTAGATTAATCAAAAATGCGAATTACTCTTTTTGAAAACTTAATTCGTTGAATTTTGTTTGCAAAGGGGTCTGAACCTACAAATTTTACAAAAAAAAAACAATCAGGGGTATGAAACTACAAAAAAAAATCTACTCAACTTGCATTTTTTTCACAAAACAAATGTAAAAACGTCCTCTTAGTCATCAACAAAACTCATACAACACAAGACCTCACTGCTTACCTTAGCATCTAACTCCACATATCAAATTTCAATTCCAATCCCATGAATATGATTATTTATGACAGATAAGCAAACTTTATTAATGTTTCAAGAAATTCTAGCTCTGCATCGTGTGGCGATCTGAAATATTAAGTAGCTTAATGGCTTCTGTGGTATATAGAATATCACCTAGTAGACTACATTGTAAGGCATATAGTTCTCAAATCATTCGAGCAATTAGAGCGATAAGCCTATTCCAATTAATCTTTTTACGAGCTATGATTATATATTAGGTTGTGATTTATCAGTAATTCATCATTCAGTCTGCCATTTATCAATCAATTTTGCATTATTGCTATCGACTAGATAATGGATGAAATAATGAGTCGAATTCTTAGTCATGCATGTGCATAATGAGAAAATTAGAGTTCAAAATACGTAATAAATTGCGAGTAAATCACGAAATCGTTCAATCAATCAAAATTGCTGTGCTGAACAAGGTTCGTACTCTTGTGATGTTGAATATTGCTATAAGATTAAAGATTGGCCTGGTTGGAATCTGAAAATGAGAACAACACTTGTTTACATCCCTAAAGCTTTTAAAATCAAAGTTTCCTTTTCTCGACAATGTCTTTTGATGTAAATCTACATCTTCTGCAGCCCAGAAAACCTTAATCTATTTTTAAACATCAAATATCAACAAATACACAATGATTCCATCTTATTTTCAAGCTTAATTCAATTTATAAGCTCAATCAAAATCATTGAATTCTCAAATTCATCAGAATTTGTTATACTTTACCTAAGGAAGCCTGAATAATACTCTCATAAATATGCTTCATGAAAATATCGATTTCACTTGCAATTTACTTAATAATCAAGAAGATTTTGAAAGAATGAGGTCATAAAATTTTCCTATTTCTTTGCTCTAAGTTGGCTTTATTTTCTTTATTGTGTTAAAAAGTTGTAGTTTGAGTTATTTGTGTGATTCAATGAATAAAGGATTTTTGTGGGTGGAAAACTTCTTTCTGTTCCTTGATATCTTATGAATGTATCATGAATCTTCATAAATATCGATTTTCTGCTTCAAAAACTGTTTGGCTATTATCTGATATAATTTATGATGATTGAAATTATGAGGTTTGTAAATAGAATTGAATACAATCAAATTATGGAGTTTTTTGAAATTCAAATGTTAAAGGATTTTTGACATTCAAATGTTAAAGGATTTTCGAGATTTAAATCTTAACGAAGCTTAATTTAAATTTTCAAAAACCGTTAAAAATTTAAAATTTACAATTTTCTAATGTCGACTTTTCTCATCTTTTAAATTATAGGAGCTGCAAAGAAACGAGATGTTCGTACAATTAGCTCATCGCCAAGTGACTTGGGACCACCACCAAAAACAAGCAATGGAACCAATCAGACACAGAAAAGCAGTTCTCGCACTCTCCCAAATTCACGTAAGTTTTATAAACCAAAAAAAGAATTAAAAACTTTTCCAATCTATAAAATCATCGTCTATAGACAGAAGAGCAAAAGAAATCGATTCTCGAATGTATCGAATGTAGAAAGTTACTTAACTTTGTTTCCCCCCGAGCTTTATTATCTTACAACTTAAAGAGGCCCTTTGGGAGCTTCCAATATAGAAAAAAATATAGAAAAAAATGGGGAAGTAAAGTTTATTAATTGGAGAATAACCTTCATCTCAAATCTGCATTTTCCAACTCCAACTCAAGTCATTTAACAACATCACTTGAACCAGTAAATTTAATTTAAAAAAATCCAGGGGTGGCATATGTCCATTATTTTTGTGTTCAGAAATCAAAAAAGGATCTCATTTTCATGTTAAATTTTGAATTTCTGAACGCATGCCACTAAAATATTTTATCCACCCCTGGACAAAAGCTTGCCTCATGTGTAACTCGATGCTGTATGTCTTTCATTGACCATAGACCGGCAACAAAGCAGATAAAGCCAGCATGAATCGATAATTTAAAGTTCCCCATCGATGAATGCCTGCTTGAAGCTCAGCACAGAACTTGTTTTTACCATTTTATTTATTTTTTACTTAATTCTGTTCTGTTCTCGGTCAACATTAATGCACACACATGTGTATAGACATGCTGGAGCATCATCCGTACCTAAATAGCCATTATCCCACTTAAAACTATCTCAACAAGCCCGTCCCATCCAAAATTCACAAAGTTTACTCAACTAGAAAATTATTTTGTGTACAGACTATAAAGTTTAAGCCATTCTGCACTGATAAACCTGTCGACTAGCATCTTTATGACTTTAGAATGTAATTGAGAGTGTAACAAGAGTTCCACAAACCACCAGAATAAAAGCCAGACTAACTTACAGCTAATGTTAAAAAATCAGGAAATGGAAGCTGATAAACAAACTTTTAAGCACATGCAGCATTTTAATGACTTTTATAGAGCACTCGACACATTTAAAATCATTAAAAAGGATGAAAAAGTTTTTCGTATATGAGCATAATTAAGGAACTTGCTAATGGACGTTTTGAGGGGATGAACAGGAACAAAAAAAAAGTTTAGATTTTACGCTGCAAATTCCTGCAAATTTTATTCAACTATTTTACATCCGCAGACACAGGATGTCCACAAACTTTTCAATAAGTAGACTGCTGCCCTTCAGGCTGACGGTCTATCATGCCAGCAAACTTCTTAATTATCTTCTTACCTCCTTCAACCATCATCTGCCACATTTCTTGAAACATTCCGTGAATTTCTTTAGCGTCTGGATCTTGTGGTCCATTCATGCCATCTGGTTCTGCTTGACGCTTTCTTCTGCTTTCTTCTTCACTGGTTTCTGGATCACGAATGGCATCTCCAAAGCCTACTTTGGGCTTAGCATCAATGCCAGCTTGAGCACCGAAGAAATCTGGGTGGAAATTAATTGAATTGTTATGGCATGGATGATCAATTGAGTTTTGGGGAAAGGGGTCTATGGTTTGGAAAGTGTTTAAGTGGGGGGGTTCTCGCTTTGAATAATTTTTAATGAATTCTCTGAAAACTAAGATTCTGAGAAAGTTACATGGGAAACTTCATCAAATTCAAATTTATTCAAACCAAGGACCCCCAAATAATTAATTATAAAAATCTCAGTAATTACCAAATTGATGATCTTGTTGCCCTTTATAGGCTGCTCCGTGCTCTAAGATTGCCATTCCTTCTGCTGCTTTGTCTATAAAGAAGCTTGTTATGGCATCTGCTCCCTCACGTTCTATTTAAGGACACAAAAATTGCTAATTAATGAATTTAGCACAAGAAGTAGATATTAAGGCTTACTATTCCTTAGAGCGTATCCATCGATACAAATTACGATAGACATTACAATAACTAAAATTTGTTTATTACTCGACATCGTTCGGAGATGAAATGAGGCTATAGAAGTCACAGTGCAGCTTTAATAAAGCTATAACATTAGTGCTATCATGCATGCATTATCTCAATTTCAATTAATTGGACTCACCGAAATGAATGGCACTGCCAATCTGATATTGAAGATCTTTATGTCATTTGAGTGTTAGTGCTAATTAAAAGCTGTAACAAACTATCGACAATGACGTTTTTATGTGACTCATATGTGCTGTTTTACTGATAAGTTCGACTGCAGTGCTGTTTTTTGGAATGTTAATTTTAATGAGTAGCTGTGAATGTTTTTTGTTGTTTGGGGATTTCCATTCAAGGTCAGGTGTGGAAAATCACAGCTTTTATTGGGTGTGAATTATTTCCAACGGATTTTTGAGATTTTAATTTTAACTGATTTTTGAGATTTAAATTTTTTCGTAAAATTTTCGTTAAAAATTCAAATTCCAAAACCCCGTTGAAATTCAATTTCTATAAATCCGTTAAAAAAATCTTTAAAATAAATCAATCCACAATTCCCATAAATTCTATATTATCCAGTAATCTTCACTTCCTCATTTCACAAAAGCAATTCTTCATAAATCTTCAAAGCGGTTCCCCATTCCATCCAAACACCAAATTTGAAACCATAAAATTGCAATCTCATTTCATGCACACTTATGGAGTATAATTCCGTTAGTCGGAAGGCCCTCAGCGCCATAAATTGCATAACATGCTTCCATTCCCTAAAAAAATGATCTCAAAACAGGAAAAGCAGGCTTTATAAATTTCAATTTTACAATTACACGAGACTTGTTTATTTATGTGCCTGAATATTCTTCATCTCCTTTATTCATTTCCCTTGCGTCGAAGTTGAGAATCGTAAAAAAGAAAGAAACATATTTCATTAAATGCTTTATGTACTTTAAGGCGATGATGATACATTCCGCAAAACGAAATGGCAATTTATGTAGTTGAATATTTACTTTTTTCATAAATGCAGCATAGGGAGCAGCAAAAAACTGTTCATTTATGATTCAAAAGGTTCTGAAAATACCGAAATCATAATTTATGTCAAATATTATTATGCTGAGTTTTTCCACAACATTTCTGCTTCTCCCCAGTCGTGATTGTATTGTCGATGGGGAGAAAAATAATTCCTGCCTTTACATTGCTCCTTCGTCTTCATGCAACGATTGATGACTTCAAGAAAAGCAGGCATTCATACATTAATGACATTTTTAGCACTTTTTGCTGTGAAAATTGACACTTTTGTTGTTATTTTGCTTACTGGATGTTAGGTTGCTAATGAGGGAGTGGCTGAATATCATTATTTTTCAGCATTGATGTTGGAATTGCGATTTATTTCAATCTTTTTTGAATTGAAGAACATTTGAATTTTAACGGCTTTTAGAAATTTGAATTTTAACGGTTTTCAAAAATTTGAATTTTAACGGTTCTCAAAAATTTAAATCTAAACGGTTCTCAAAAGTTTAAATCTTAACTTTTGAAGCTCACGCATTATGCGTTCCTTGCTACTTTCACAAAATCTTCATCTACTTCCCGATCCTTTCTCTCTTATTTGATGTCTTCCACAAAAAAATATATATAAGAAATTCCTCGGTACATTGGCCTTAATGAAGCAATTCAATTTTCTTTCCATACTTTTTTCGAATGTGTGACACACAAATGACATGTTGATTGCCACAGGTGACTGCCTGCACGATGATAAGCAATTTTTCTCTTTTTACAATTTTCTTTTGATGCTCATTAATCATTCCGATGATGTCATTTATTTCACATAGAAGTTTCATTATGCTTAAATTACAGGGAACGACCAATTGATGGAATCAAGACAAGCAAGAAAAGGTTTCATTTAAATTTTATTCGCAAGCAGTAGTGGAATAAAGATATAAATGAGGGTTAAAGACAATATAAATGGAATTGAAATACAGAAGTTGAATTCAAAACGGAAATCTTCTATTTTACGAGGTATTTTGGCATTTTTTGTGTTGGTTTGATCTACCGAGCTGTGTATTAAGATTGGTGTGATTCGTTTGGGCACTGGATGTTCTAATTTACTGCTTCTTTTCATTTTTGTTCTTTGTAAAAAATCTCTCAAATATAAAAGTTTGAAATTTCGAGATTTCTTGCAGTTTCTGTGAGTCATTAGCATGGCTCTAGAGAACATGAAGCTTTGATTGATAGATTAAGTAGCTCAAAAAATCATGAATTTAAGTTTTAAAATCCAAAAAACCTTGAATTTTAAAATGGAAACAAAAATTCCCGCTCATATTTCGCTTTGAAATTCAAATCCTCAAATTCCGTTAAATTTCAAACAGCTTGGCACCATTCTTTAATTTATTTCTGCTAAGTCTTAATGTACCAATCATGTGGACTTGTCATTTATTTATCTCATTTCCCTTTCCATCCAATTCCATGTTCGCCAACCAACAATAGAGCAAAAATGTACCGCATATTTTTCGTTGACAAGATCTCATTTCACATGAGTTACGACAAAAGAACAAATAAACAAGGAAAGAAAAGAGAAAAGTAAGATTGCTAAATGAGATTTTCGTGTGCATGCAAGGCAAAGAATGAGATGAAAGTGATTGACATTGAAATCACATTTTCGCAAGGCATTCACTTGATTCCATTCGCATATCTTAAGCAGGTATTGTTTTTTTAAAGGCGAGTTGTTAATTCAATTAAAATGTGACTAACGAATGTGTCAGTAATGTTCGTTAGAGACTTTAATGAGCTTGATAGTCAAGAGAGAGAATTTAAATAATTTCAAGCTTGTTGATCTTAGCGGATGTAAATTCTTAGAATTAAGCATGATTAAGTGAGATTTTAAATTATTTTATTCTGATTTTCCAACGGTTTTTAAAAAATTTGAATCATAACGGCTTCAAATAATTTGAATTTTAACGGTTCTCAAAAATTCTTCAGCACATCCAAAACACCCAAATCATTGCAAACTCGGGTCAGAACTTTCACAAAACTTCCCAAATTCCTCTGCGTCCATACAATTCAATACTCAAACAATACAATCTGAATGTATGATCAAGTATATAATAAAAATGCCATTAAACTACCTGCTGTTCAGTAATCTTCTAGACCAATCCCATCCAATCACAATCACGGAAATGGCAACAACAAAAAACAGTCACCGTGACTGTATGCATACATAAAAATTTCCGGATTGTCATCATGTCACGACATTAACATAGGCATAAATGCACAACATATAAATGAGCAATCAGGGCACAAGTAGATGAGGGAACTTGAAATTATTCCATGTGTGATTTTTATTGAGATTTAATTGATAAAAGCTACAAATTTGTTTTACTGCCCACGTGCGCATTTTTATGTGAATCTATTACATTGTGCCTTGTCCGCAGGCAACATGTTGCAAAAGATCTCCTTTAAAATTAGCTAAATCTAAGATAAATATTATTTTTCACATTGCATGCATGTCGTTGAGTGCTGCTTGTGTCTTTCTATTGACAGAAATGCTTTTACATTTTCAGATGAAGTTTCTTTTGTCAACATTTGCGCAAAAAAATTTTCTTAGTGACTGCACTTGTCATTATTTTCATAATGTATGACTCCTTTCATACGTGAGTGAGTTAATGAGAAAATTATGGTGATGGAGATATTTCATGAAATTGTGTCTCTTAATTCTGCACTTAATTGAAGTGAGTGAAAGGGTGAAAGTATGGGGAGAAACTTACTAAGAAATAAGTTGCATTAAGTGCTGGCTGATTTAACACGATGATGACAATTTCTTCTTTTGAACCGTTAAAATTCAAATTTTTGAAAACCGTTAAAACACAAATTTCAGAAAACCGCTAAAATTCTAATTTTTGAAAACCGTTAAAATTTAAATTCCAAAAATACGATACAAATTTAATGCAAAACTCCTTCAGCAACATTATTCACCTAAACTTTATCATATCAAGCACAAATCCTGAATGCATTTCAATAAGCTTTAAATTATAATTGCAAATAAACCAAGCATTCATTCCACTCGAACGAGAATCGATTCCAATGCTTCAAACATCCTGGCATATAACACTTCAATGCTCTTCTCAATCCCCTCAAGTATAATCCAACACAAGCTGCAATTCCGATGAATAAAACAATCTCATAAAATTTCAATTATTTTGATTATATCTATTTTAGAAAAACGAGCACAGCCACAGCAAATCATCCAACCACCAGCAGTTAATCAAATTGCAGAGCTTAAAGGATCACCGCCCGCTAAAAAGATTGTACCGAGACGATTGATAAATGCAAGTCCTTTACCGCAGGATAAAACACCACTTAAAGGTAAGCTGAAGCTTCTTATCCAGCATAAAACACATTTTATGGTATTAGCCATGATTAATCGGACGTGCGGCTATCATAATATTTGTCTACTTGTTCAAGGCTGCTTGTTTAATCAAGCAGTTTAAAGATAAAGATAATTATATTTGGTGACACTTCTGAGAGTGTTTCTGGAGTGATTAGATAAGGTATATCCAGTTAGACATTGAATTTTAGGAATTGAGGTAGAAACTTTGTGTCAACAAGCTGTTTTGTATGCAATTCAATGACATTTTACTCAAAATTTTCCATAATGGTGTTCTGCGTGCGGTTTTGTACATTTCTTTGCAGATATGATACTTATTAATGATGGTTTGGTTCATAGTCGTACGCTGTGTACGACTCTTGACATTCAGATAGTTTTTATAAATCCAAAAGTTATGTATCATATCCAGTTTATTTTCAAACCACATAAGCACCCACAGCAGTCGCTAATTCCACTCAATATCACAAGCTTCTGAAGTCAAATATTGATACTAATTCCATAGTTATGACATAAAACAAGTGCTCATTGCTCACACGTATAGCTTCAAACCGCAATTAACATCATTTAAATATTTAATTCGCACATCATAATGAAAATCAGAGACTGTAAATTTGAAAAGCATACACACGAATGACGAGATTATAATTAATGTATAGTTTGATAAATGTTATCCAAAAATGTTTTTATTTAAAAAAATGTTAAAACCGCTTCCATAAAAATCTATTATCATTATCATTAATGTTATTTTTAAAACATTTAAAATTATTGAGCACATATTGTGGATTTTGTGGTGAATTTTGCGAACTTTTGGACATGAATTAAATGTTAATTAATTATAACTACTCGCGGGGGTGTCTTCAGAGGCTGACAGAGGTTGGCTTTTATTCGCTTTGATTATATTCTTGATTTTGAATATTAACGGTTAAAAAATATTTGAAAAATTAACGGTTAAAAGTCATTTGAATTACTAACGGTTAAAAAATATTTGAAAGTAAACGGTTAAAGATTATTTTATAAATAACTGCCAAGAAATACTCAAAAATTTACTGCCTAGGAATTTTATAATCCAGTTCCAACACAAGATGCTCCTCTTAATAATTCCCAAACCTCAAATAACCTCTGAATACATCCTCATCAACATCAATCTAATGATTAATTTATTAAAAATGCTCAAATGACATCCAACACTATCAGAAGAAGATTTTCTTTGCTTCAGACACAGTCGATTCCTTTGGACAGTATGGGCATTTCAGCATCAATCCTCTCGTTAATTTCTGCATAGCGTCTTTTGAGATTACATGTCCACATTTCAATTTCATTGGTGGATTCTGTTCAGTACTTGGTAATTTAAGAATCGGACATGTAAACACTGAATGAAAACGATATTCAGGTCCTAAGTCTATTTCAATTGGTAATTCATTCCTTTCGGACCAAACACTTGATACTCGATTCTTTAACATTATTTGCTTGAGGTTCATTAATGCTGGCAGTGAATAACATCCAGAATTTATGATTATTTCCAAACTTGAGTCTCGATTGACTCCAACGATCTCACAAGATTCCTGAATAAAGGAATCAGCACCATCAACCCACAGCTCTTCCTTAAACAACATGCTGTATGGTGTATTATGAAAATCATGCTGACCTAAGTAGATAAGACATCCCATCAACATTTGAATCTCTTTCTCAAACTTAATTATAAACTTATTAAAGTGAGCTCTTGTATACGCTATAGCTTCAGCCTGTCCATTCACGCCTTGTTCCAGTAGCTGTAAATATGCTAGTCGACGTAACTTAAATTCTAATGTGCTATTTCGGGAATCTAATTCTGAACTGTATTGTGTCACCCATTCTAGAGCTAAAAGAAGGAACAATTTTGTTAGTATCTATGTCCAACAACAGTCTAATTGATGCTTACCTGGTCCTAAATTCTTATTTAATATCGCTTCAGACATTTGAAAGAGATCTGCAAATAATTCGAGATGTATATCCTCTTCTGGAGGCAGAGCTGACTCATTTATAAGAGATTCAGCTACACCATTCATGCCTTGTCTATAGAAATGTTCAGAAATTATTTGATTTAATATTTCTATGTATTTATCATTCTCAAAGACATCCATTGGAGCAATGCTCTGATAATCTGGTGTAAAATGACGATCTATAGCCTTCCCGACTTTCGAAACAGTCGCATGAAGAGATCTATGTTCAGTTCCAATTGACTGTAACTTTGCCTTACATCTTGCAATCACATTCTTTAATTCATTTGCTTGCTGTTCAGGAATTGTTGAAGTGCTGTCCATTTTATCTACAAATAGAATTAATGAAAATCCTAAGATTATATAGCTTAATGAAGTAATCAGATGATTTTTGCTTACAAAGAGATGAACTACAGATTTCTAAAACAGAAATAATTTCATCTAAAGTTGATTCCGACTGTTTCTTAACGCCAGAGAATTTTGATATCACTTTTTCGATCTCCTTTTCGACAGCTTCAATCGCTTCCATGATTATTAAACTACTTAAACCTTGAAAATGGCCTAAATTTAAGTCTTTATTAATAAAAAATAATTATTTTTGTTTCTTTGTATGTGTGTGTGTGTAAAAATGAGCTGCAACTTCAAGTCATAGGTTTATTTTATCCGCGGGTTATGCAGGAAAATAATTTGAATTTGTTCCGACCGTTTTTAACTGTTTAAAGAGAAAATTTACTTCTACGTTAATTTATTAACAATGAATGTAGAATTTAATGATTTTTTTCTTCTTTCTCAAGGCTATGTAAACAATGTATTAGGAAGCAGCACGTACCATAAATTCTGAAGTTACTGACCTCAAAATATTTTCACCTTTTACAAACATTAATATTAATTAACGTGACGTCATCATTTATTTCATTTATACAAATCTGGCACCATTCCCATTGTGTGCCAAGAACAAAAGCATAAAATGAGATTCTGCTCAAGATGTTAATCTACTTTTTATTTTTTGTTTTGTGAAATTAAAGCCACAACTCATCATTTTTTTACTTTAAAGTGATGCATCTCAAAAATTTCATCTACTGAATCATCTACAAGGTTAATGTAAAAGAAAGAGTTATATTTATAATCCTTTAACATCTGTTCACAATTTACTTAATGCACTGTAATGTCATTAAAGCCTTGAACTGTATCGCTCGTGTATTACACTTAATTTCGATTTTTAGTGGTTCAAATTTAACAACTTTTTGAGATTCAAAATTTAACGGTTTTCAAAAAATCAAAAAATTTGCTTGAATTTTTGAAAACCGTTATAATTTAAATCTTAAATAATCGTTGGAAAATAAAATCTTAATCAAAGGCTGCACCTCAATTCAGTGAACGGCCCCTGTTTTAGTCGATTGCTCTAAATGCATTCAATTTCACTTTATTATTCAAATTTATTGCTGTAATTTTGCGTAATCGGCACACAATTTTCTTGCAAGTAGATTACTCTAAGCATTAACACGCAAATATTTCATCATTATGTCAAGCATGTCGAATATGAGTGAAAGAAATTTCTTAGCAACTAAATTAGCTATCTAAAAACTTGCTTTTCCTATAAAAAAAAATTATATCCATACAGCACATCAGCAACATGCAATGCCATTAGACACATTTATGTTTCGTCATTATTTCGCACATTTATCACGAATTGCTTGATAAATGGATGAGATTCTAGTTTAGACGTGAAAATTGTTATGTATTTGCAAAAATTGGAAGCAGTACTGTGGACAATAAAACGCATTTTGAGCCTCAATTAAATTAGTGTGGAAGTAATTTCAAATCCATTAATTCACTTAATGTAATGCATTCAACTTAAAAATATAAATCTTAAATCATCCATTAAGACATTCGCTAAATTGTAAAAGCATTGATGAAGAACTGAGCATTGATAGTTTGGCATTTTTCAAGGTTTAATGAAATTAACGTTAAATTTTTTTTGAAAAATAAGTCAAAATTTATTTGAATTTTGTAACTGTCAAAAAATATTTGAATCTTTAACACCAAAAAAATGTTAAGTTTCTCAAAAATCTATGCAAAATGGACATAATCACACACTTAGTGACCACAACAAGTCACTAAAAATCATGATAATGATCGTCGCTAAAAGCCAAAGCACAAAGAAGTTGCATAAACTGAAAATGATTGTTTGCGGAACTATTGAAAATGGGAAAGAAGCAAGAGTCATACTTGAAAGATTTATAATCGTCTGTCATGAATAATTGCATTATTAAATCTTATGTGAATTAAATAGACAAAGCACACGACAGGTGAAAATTTTTACATACAAAAGATAATTTTGTGACTAATATTTTAATGGGGTTAATCGTAAATGATGTTTAACTTTTGTAGAAGAAAAGTGGAGTCGTGTGATGTTTATATATGCTACATGGAATAGGGGTGGGTCGAATAAATCACAAATTTTTGATAGACGTCACTTATTGATGATCTAAAATATCAGATAATGCTCATATATGGAAGGTATCATACCGAGCATTATGTTGACACTCGAAGGTCAAGCTAAATCAAATCAAATTTGTTATCGATTTAAAATTGGTCATGTTGCAAATATGGTCAAAGCATAATTAAATATTATTACATAGTTTCTTTACATTTCTGTTTATTTATTTATTTTTGGACATTAACACCGTTGTTAACAGACTAGACTAAAGATTTTTGCCAAATTTGATTCGGTCTTCAAGTCCAAATGTAAATAATTCGCCCACGATTTGTGTTTTTACAACTGTTTTGCGTTGTCTGTTGTTATGAAGTCAATGTGCCTGATATTGGTGTTTTGATCAGCTGGTTTGATATTTGATGAAGGTTTGGATGTTGAATAATGAAGATTTGAATGCTTTTGGCTCCAAACTTTCAAAAAGATCATTTTAATCCTTAAATACACCCGAATTGAAATTCAAACCACCTCATTAACCTCAACTTTGAAAGAAATAAATCATTTCAACTATCGAACGCACTGATCTGCAAAACAATCCAGTTTCAATCACCCACAAGTCGCTTTTTCACTTCTGCTCATTATTTCTTTTTATTCACCAAAATTTCAGACGAACATTCAAATTCATTAAATCAATCGACTATTAATTCTTTTTCTAGGTTGACTGTTAATTAATTAGAAACTTAATTCATGACCTTTCATTGCATTGCATATTGAAATATGACATAATGTACACATTTCATAAATTAATCACTTACAAAAATATTTATTTTCATAATCGAGTATTTATGGTCATGAGACGTATAGTAGCTAGTAATAAGACCCACAACGATGATTTGTAAACATTTCTCTAAGTGAATTTAACAACTTTTTATTATTATTATATTATTTACAATTACAATACATTACATTTATGGATGTTAATCGGAAAGTGCATTTTTGATGCGATCAATAAATTATCATTTAGGCGTGGAAATCTCGTAGCTAAAGAGTTATGATCGTTATCATCATTTATTTTGAGATATTTGACATTTATTGCATGCGCATTTATGAGCATTCAATCAATTTTCAGCGCATATACCCAAAATTGAAAATAAAATCTTGTTGCTGGATACATTTTGTCTGTCTGTCAATTCAATAATTGAATTTTTTGCCGTTAAAAATTTAAAAAATATTTTATTCATATTCAAATATTTTTTGACAGTTAAAATTCAATTTTTTTTGATTGTTATTTCCTTCTTCAATTCTGTGGCTTTCAAATGCGCCTCAATCAGCCATAACTGACCACATCTACACCAATTTCTCTCATTTCGCGGTCACTCATAATTCACATCAGATTTTTAATACAAATTTATGTCCGACTTATGCCAATTTCACTTGTTCAATAGTTTTGTTGTTATTCTTTCAATCTCCTCCAACATCTGTTCATTTATTGTTCTGCGTCATGTCGTCAATTAGACAAATGGAAAAGTTTTCACCGAAAATATAAAGTTTCTCAAAAATATATTCATTGTTGCCCCAATGAGATTCAAATCTTGTTCACTTTTGATTTCATTTTTCTTTTTCTTTTCGATTGTGTGGCTAGCATGGACAGTAGCGATTACAAATGTTCGCATTTTTTTGGTGAGATTTGTTGAGGTAGAACAATGGGAATTTATGGATTTACAAAATGCTTTTGGGATTAACTTTGTAATGAAGATTAGTGGAATTGTGGGAATTTAGAGGTATAATTGTGGGTTGTGAATGGTTTTGGGTAATTACGAATAGCTGAATTTTTGTTATTGATATACTGCATGTGGATGAATGACTTAAATTCGAGAATTTAATTTTTTTTTTCAATAATTTGAAGTCTGATGCTGAATTTTAGGCTTTTACTACAGTTAAGTTGATGGATTTTGAAGCTCCTTTTATTATAAACCTCAATCAAGTCAAAAATCAAGATCCAGTAAAGCATTTTGTGATTTTCAGAAACATCCAGTAACCTCAAAATTATTCCATCAATCTCTTAAGACATTAATCACTTGGAACCTCTAAATTCATTTTCGCGAGCTACTACTCATGACCAACTGAGCAGTGATGGAAGAATTTCACTAAATGCTTTCATGTTTTCTTTCCGTTATGGCCTCGCAATAATAATTTTTCGCGAAATACAATAAAAGTTGTAGCCAAAAATAACAATAAAAAAAAAATAGCAAGTAGATCTACATGAGAGTCAAAACTATCTGTTCTCGCGTTTTGCGTTCAAAAAAATGTTTTTTTATAAAAATAGTAAATTGAAATTAATTAAGTAAAAGTTATGAAATGGAAGTGAATTAGATGGAAAGTAAATTAAATCTGACGAGAAGTGTGTCTGACAAAATAAATAGAAGCAAGATCTTCTTCATGCACTTGAAAGTTTTGAAAAGGAACTCAATTTTGAAAGCCGTTAAAATTTAAATTTAAAAAAACCAATAGAATTGAATAGAAAACCAATAGAAAACCTGTTCAAATTCAAATTTTTGGTACCGTTGAAATTCAAATTTTTTCAAACCCGTTAAAATTTAAACTCTCAAAACCATTTAAGTTTAAATTCTCAAAAACCGTTAAAATTTAAAAACTCAAAAACCGTTAAAGTTGTGAGCATAAAAACTGCATCCATATGCGATTCCAAAGCATGAAAAATCCCCACGAGAAATGAAAATGCAATTTGGAACGAATAAAGCAAGGCAGCAGCAAGAAGAGAGAAGAAAAATAAAATTTTCTGTACTCTTGTAAAAAATAAAGCCGATTAGTCGGTCGAGTAACGTGCTGTGCGAATGAAGATTTTCGGTAGTGCTGGAAAATAATTTTTATTATTTTCTGTCTTTTCTCTTTCTAAAAAGTTTTAATTGTGACTTCAAAATTGCCTTTTTAAAGGAAATGGGACTGAATAGATTAATATCGTTGTCGAAAAGTAGTGTCCTGCCAGACCTAAAGCAGGTCAATTCAAAAGCAAGTAAAAGTGCGAAAATAGAGCAGACAGAAAAGTGCAATAAGAAGGAATCGGAAACACAGAAAATCGATAAAACATTGAAAAATGGCAAAAATGCGACAACGGCTAAAAAGTCTATGTTATGGACACTTAGGATTACAAATAAAAGCAAAAGTGGATTAAAAAAAGGTA